TATACAACACTACTGATATTGTGTACAGACCATACTACTAATATTGTGTATACAGACAACACTACTGATTTTGTGTATACAGACAACACTACCTATATTGTATACAGACAACACATTGTGTATACAGACAACACTACTGATATTGTGTATACAGACAACACTGATATTGTATACAGACAACACTACTGATATTGTGTATACAGACAACACTACTGATATTGTATATACATACAGTACTACTGATATTGTATATACAGACAACACTACTGATATTGTGTATACAGACAACACTACTGATATTGTGTATACAGACAACACTACTGATATTGTGTACAGACCGTACTACTAATATTGTGTATACAGACAACACTACTGATATTGTGTATACAGACAACACTACTGATATTGTGTATACAGACAACACTACTGATATTGTATATACAGACAACACTACTGATATTGTATATACAGACAACACTACTGATATTGTGTATACAGACACTACTGATATTGTGTATACAGACAACACTACTGATATTGTGTATACAGACAACACTACTGATATTGTGTATACAGACAACACTACTGATATTGTGAATACAGACAACACTACTGATATTGTGTATACAGACAACACTACTGATATTGTGTATACAGACAACACTACTGATATTGTGTATACATACAGTACTACTGATATTGCATATACATACAGTACTACTGATATTGTGTATATGGACAACACTACTGATATTGTGTATACAGACAACACTACTGATATTGTGTATACAGACAGCACTACTGATATTGTATATACATACAGTACTGCTGATATTGTATATACAGACAACACTACTGATATTGTGTATACAGACAACACTACTGATATTGTGTACAGACCGTACTACTGATATTGTGTATACAGACAACACTACTGATATTGTGTATACAGACAACACTACTGATATTGTATATACATACAGTACTACTGATATTGTATATACAGACAACACTACTGATATTGTGTATACAGACAACACTACTGATATTGTGTACAGACCGTACTACTAATATTGTGTATACAGACAACACTACTGATATTGTGTATACAGACAACACTACTGATATTGTGTATACAGACAACACTACCGATATTGTATACAGACAACACTAATGATATTGTGTATACAGACAACACTTCTAATATTGTGTATACAGACAACATTACTGATATTGTGTATACAGACAACACTACTGATATTGTGTATACAGACAACACTACTGATATTGTGTATACAGACAACACTACTGATATTGTGTACAGACCATACTACTAATATTGTGTATACAGACAACACTACTGATATTGTGTATACAGACAACACTACCGATATTGTATACAGACAACACTAATGATATTGTGTATACAGACAACACTACTGATATTGTGTATACAGACAACACTACCGATATTGTATACAGACAACACTAATGATATTGTGTATACAGACAACACTTCTGATATTGTATATACATACAGTACTACTGATATTGTGTATACAGACAACACTACTGATATTGTGTATACAGACAACACTACTGATATTGTGTATACAGACAACACTACTGATATTGTGTACAGACCGTACTACTAATATTGTGTATACAGACAACACTACTGATATTGTGTATACAGACAACACTACTGATATTGTGTATACAGACAACACTACTGATATTGTATACAGACCGTACTACTAATATTGTGTATACAGACAACACTACTGATATTGTGTACAGACCGTACTACTAATATTGTGTATACAGACAACACTACTGATATTGTGTATACAGACAACACTACTGATATTGTGTATACAGACAACACTACTGATATTGTGTATACAGACATCACTACTAATATTGTGTATACAGACATCACTACTGATATTGTGTATACAGACAACACTACTGATATTGTGTATACAGACAACACTACTGATATTGTGTATACAGACAACACTACTGACATTGTGAATACAGACAACACTACTGATATTGTGTATACATACAGTACTACTGATATTGCATATACATACAGTACTACTGATATTGTGTATATGGACAACACTACTGATATTGTGTATACAGACAACACTACTGATATTGTGTATACAGACAGCACTACTGATATTGTATATACATACAGTACTACTGATATTGTGAATACAGACAACACTACTGATATTGTGTATATGGACAACACTACTGATATTGTGTATACAGACAACACTACTAATATTGTGTATACAGACAACACTACTGATATTGTATATACAGACAACACTACTGATATTGTGTATACAGACAACACTACTGATATTGTGTACAGACCGTACTACTAATATTGTGTATACAGACAACACTACTGATATTGTGTATACATACAGTACTACTGATATTGCATATACATACAGTACTACTGATATTGTGTATATGGACAACACTACTGATATTGTGTATACAGACAACACTACTGATATTGTGTATACAGACAACACTACTGATATTGTGTATACAGACAACACTACTGATATTGTGTATACAGACAACACTACTGACATTGTGAATACAGACAACACTACTGATATTGTATATACAGACAGCACTACTGATATTGTATACACATACAGTACTACTGATATTGTGTATACAGACAACACTACTGATATTGTGTACACAGACAACACTACTGATATTGTGTATACAGACAACACTACTGATATTGTGTATACAGACAGCACTACTGATATTGTGTAAACAGACAACACTACTGATATTGTGTATACAGACAACACTACTGATATTGTGTATACAGACAACACTACTGACATTGTGAATACAGACAACACTACTGATATTGTGAATACAGACAACACGACTGATACTGTGTATACAGACAACACTACTGATATTGTGTACACATACAGTACTACTGATATTGTGTATACAGACAGTGCTACTGATATTGTGTATACAGACAGTGCTACTGATATTGTGTATACATAAAGGATGACATAGTCGTTCTTAAGAGGAAACACATTAGTTCATAAGGGTTAACATATTAGTTCATAAGGGGCAATATATTAGTTCATAATGGGTTATATATTAGTTCATAAGGGGTAATATATTAGTTCATAAGGGATAATATATTAGTTCATAAGGGGTAATATATTAGTTCCAAAGGGGTTACATATTAGTTCATAAGGGGTTATACATATATATGAGTGACCTGCCCCTGATGGATAATGTGTTTGTACTTCGATCTCTGATGTTTTGAATTGATACATGGATTTCCAGAGCATCTTTTGTCACCATTTTTGTTTGGTAAGTGCCGAAGTCGCCTATGATATAACACGTGACATTAGGTGTATCGCTTCAAAAAAGAGAAAAAAACAATTTGTATTATGTTACAACTGTGTTCACGATATCAATGCGTGGGATACGTATGCAATGCGAAATAGTAAATGCAGAGGCAGTTTTGGCACCATGGCTGACAATGTTGAGCCTAGTATGACATCGACACAAATAGACAGAAGCATTTTCGAACAATTGAGAGAGTCAATTGGATCGTTTGACAGAGAAAAATTTAAGAAACGCTTAGACTCCATATACTCGGGTAACATTGAAAGTCTCATCCATGTTCGTCAAGCACTATATGATTTGGCACTCGTGAGAATACCTGATATGCCTCAAGGGGAATTAGCCAGGCGCAGAAATGTCGGAAACTCACTAGCGTTGAACAAATATATAGATGATATTTACACACTGTTCCAGTACATTGACGGAGGAACCAGTAGAAGTGAGATAAAATATTTGTTGAAATCAAAAGATATAGGAAACTCGACCTTCGACTCGCGTGCGTCAAAAGACTGTGCAGACACATCGCTTCCACACAGTGATCAGACCTCGGTAAAACGGGTAGTCTCAATAGGATCACCCGTGCATAACGATATGACAGCTACTGTAAATGAAAGCTCTAGTACTCTGTCAAGTATTAAAGACAATGTAAGCAATCAAACTCTTGCTGACCTGTTTATACTGATTGTAGGAATGAGAAACGAAATGGCTGAACAAATTAATGAAATAAGCACTGTGTTGCGAGAAGACATTAGAGAGCTTAAAAACGAATTACGCGAAATGGGAGCTGAAAAGGAGAGAAAAGAGCAACAATTATCAGCGCTTATGATAGACATGAGTCACTTGCGAGCAGAACTGAGTGTCAAAGAAAACGTAATATCAAATTTGAAATCTCAGAAGTGTAAATCTTCGTTGATAAGGCAAGATAATATCGTCGCAGTCAATGACGAAAAAATCAAAGTATCAGAAGTACTGCGCGATAAATTCTCCAACCAACCAAGGGTGTCACTCGCTTATGCAGAGGTCCTTCAGAGGACAAATACGGAGACACATACAGATGAGCCAAAAGTTTTGTCTGTTTCGCTCAATAGTTGTGCTAATGGTAGCTTGGATCGTTCACATCGAAACGTTACATTCTTCGGGTACAATACAAAGCAGCAGCTTGGCCTGTCTGAGGAAAATTCATCCTCATACAAATTTCGTGGAGTAAAGCGTAGGCCGCGAACACGACAATTTCTTATGTCTAGAATTATTGCTGATGCCTCGGAGGATGATGTAATTGACTCGATTGTTACATATGCAGCAGATGCCGGTGTAAAGGTAACATATATGAAAATAATCAAATACTGGTCAGGTAGAGAACCGACGTATACAGCCCGGCTTAACGTTCGAGAGCAAGATTTCGAGCAGGCGATTAGTCCTCATTTTTGGCCAGAAAATGTGCTCGTGCGCGAATGGGAACATCGTGATCGCTTCGCTGGTAAACTGTGTTCTAATAACCAATCCACATGACATTCACAATGCTAAATAGATACCTAGCATTTATACTATGTATCATGATTTCATTGCTTAACTGGAACATGCGGGGTATTATGTATGGAACTCCCATGCTATCTAAGCTGTTAAATGACACGGACATTGCGTTGATAACGGAACACTGGCTTCTTCCAGAGCAGATGAATTTCTTGAATACCATTGATAACAATTTCAAAGCATATGGAGTTTGTGATGCACGAATAGCGTTAGAGCCTGAAAACAGAAAGTGTAATCGTGGATTCGCTGGAATTGCATTTATGTGGCGAAAAGATATGGCTGTTTCACCTATTCTAAATGAAGGGAATGACAGGGTTGTATGCTGTTCAGTTCAACATCGTGGCAATTCACACATGTTTATAATAGGGGCTCTTATGCCTTCTACGAATGTTTCTAAAAAGGTATATGTAGACACTCTCAGGTGTGTATCGGACCTCTATGATCGGTTCTCCCAACAAGGGCATGTGATTCTAATGGGTGATTTTAATGCGCAGATAAACAAATCTTTTGGAATAAAAAATCACCAAAAATCAAACGAGAGAGGTAAAATATTACAAACATTCATCAATGAGCGCCATCTGATCTCCGTTAACTCTCAAGTATGGACAAAGGGCATGTCAGTAAGTTATGTTTCCAAAGCCGGGCTAGGTTCACTCATCGATCATGTAGCAAAATTGATTGTGTATGTGATTGCACTATGCTCAACGATTATTACTTAAATGTTTCGGATCATCTTCCTATACGTCTACGTTACGAACTTCCTGTTTGTTTAAGCAAGCACGTGTGTAGTGTAAATTCTGTCAACTGGAAAAAATGCACGGCCAAGCAAAAGTTAGAATACGCGCAAAATGTTAGTAGGAAACTTTGTGAAAATGATAGTCTTCGGGCAGTTGCGTGTGATGTGCATTCTCTAGAGAACAAATTTAAAAACATAATCAGTTGTATGCACGAGGCTGCGAAGAAAACTCTTCCTATGAAAAAATATTGTTCGTTTCTTAAGCCGTATTGGAAATATAACCAAGTAAAGGCATTACATGCTTCAATGCGTGAAAAACGTTTATTATGGATAGCTGAAGGCAGACCACGTGGAACGGACTCTTAACGCGTTTAGAGAATACAAATTATGTAAACGCATGTTTGTAAAAGAACTTGAAATTGCTCGAAGTGAATATGAACGCAAGCAGTTAATGGAACTGGCGGAAACAGCTGAAGTTGATGTTGGAACTTTTTATAAAGTTGCCCGTTCACGACAGGTCAAAGGTTATGAAACATCAGAACTACGGGTCAATGGTAAGATATCGCGCGACGCAGATGTCAACCGTAAAGCATGGACCAATCACTACAGTGAACTTGCTAGTGTCACAGAAAAACAACACTTTGACCCTGTGCATAGGCATCAGATAGATTCCGCTGTACACGAGCTTGGTGCTATTAGTTATCTAAATGCGAATAGTGTATGTCAAGGCCGCATTACCGAACAGGAAGTTTTGAATGCTTTAAAAGACATGAAGGACGGTAAAGCGGGGGGCCACAACTACATTGTGTTGGAACATATTCGATTCGGCGGTGCGCAACTCCTCAAATTGATAACTCAGATGTTTAATGTCATATTGGAAATTGAAGATTATCCACCATGCTTTAAACATGGAATCATCATATCATTATTCAAGGGTGGAAAAAAGGACAGATTGGATGTCAATAACTACCGTGACATAACGCTAACACCTGTGCTTCAAAGAATATTTGAAAAAGTGTTATACCAGAGGATATCAAAAGTGTGCACAAAAATTAACTTCCCACATTGTCTTCAGCAAGGTTTCAGATCAAAATGTGGAAGTATTACTGCTGCCTTTACTGTTAGGGAAGCCATTTGCCACCACCTTGAGCTCAATACGAAGGTCTACGCGGCATTCTTAGATAATGCAAAAGCTTTTAATAGTGTTTGGATTAATGGTCTACTGTTTAAGCTCTACAATCTTGGCTTTAACGGTAAAATATGGCGTATTCTTGCAAATTCTTTTGAGGGAGTGACGTCATGTGTGCTATACAAGGGGAAAAAAGGGAACCCCCTATCCAGTCGAACAGGGCGTCGGTCAAGGTCGAACTTTGTCGGCATGGCTTTTTCTGGTTATGATTAATGACCTTATTTCCGAGCTTGACTCATCTAGCTATGGCCTGAATATTCATAGTCTGCACATACCAGCAATATTTCTAGCCGAAGATACCCTGCTTATGGACTGTTCAGTTGGTAACCTCAAATGCCTCCTTGATATGGTTTATGAATTTTCAAGAAAATGGCGTCTGAACTACAATCCAGTAAAGAGCTCATTGATGCAGTTTCACAATGGAACGTCAAAACACATTCCGAGAACAGAGTGCAAACTTGGTGAGCATGCTATAGCCTGGGTCACTGTGAAAGAGTATGCAGGAATCACTCTTACTTCAAACCTTCGGTGCGACGAAAACATAAAAACGTCGTGCAAAAAAGGGAGAAAGTCGTTGAATTCACTGATAAGTGTAGGTATCCACAGCGGAGGAATGAACCCGCTTACAAGCGTCACACTAATAAAGGCTATAGTACAGTCACGCATTCTCTACGGTTGCGAATTGTGGGCCAATCCTACACAAAAATCCGTGCGAGAGCTCGAAATTGTACAAAGATATATAGCAAGGAGATGTCAAGGATTTGAGAAGACATCTCCAAAGCTAGTGACAACACGCGCCATTGGTCTGTTAGACATATCCGGTGAAGTCGACATGAGAAAATTATTATTTTGGAACAAGCTTGCTCTGCGAGCAACAAATATGTCTGGAAAATTCTGTTTTTAATTCGACTGTGTGCATTTGCTTTTGGTGGCATGACTCTTAAAGCCGAAAGTTTTATTCACGACATATTTGCTACTGCGGCTAAATTCGATATATCAAAAATTCTGTTTGACTTCTTGTTTGAGGGTTTCTGTCCAACACGCGTATCGTGGAAAACTTATTCTTGTAGGATAGTGGAGGAATTTTATTTCAAAAAGTGGCGGGAAGCAATGAACTATTCAGTTCTATCAGAAACATATGGTGCGATTCACTCCAATCCAGGCCCTAATCCACTCTGGATATTAAGTCTTGAACTTCCAGATTGCACATGGGCGCTAGGAGAACTAATAAAGCTGTCGTATCGGTATGAAAGGAATACAGTGGTGTGTAGGCTATGTAAAAAAGAAACAAACGATATCACTATTCATTTCCTTATTCAATGTCCGTCATTGTTCAACAGTCATGAAAAATCCTAGAATTTCTTGTCAATTTCCTAGATGTTTTTGATTACGTCAAATTTGATCACCTATCGGATAAAAGACAATGTCAATTTTTACTCGGTGGTACACACGCTATACAATTGGAGCGAGACAAGTGGGATGCAATGATGGTTACAATGGCTAACCTGATACCTTTACTGTTAACAGAAATGAAGACTCTACTTTAATGTTGTGATTTCATTTATTTGATGTAAAAAAAGACAAGATTATGTAAATCTCTGAAAAGAGGAAATAAAGAAAGTCTGTCTATAAGTTCATAAGGGGTAACATATTAGTTCAGAAGGGGTTATATATAAGTTTATAAGGGGTAAGATATAAGTTCATAAGGGGTAACATATTAGTTCATAATGGGTAACATATTAGTTCATAAGGGATAACATATTAGTTCATAAGGGTTAACATATTAGTTCATAAGGGGTAACATTTTAGTTCATAAGGGGTAACATATTAGTTCATAATGGGTTACATATTAGTTCATAAGGGGTAACATATTAGTTCATAATGGGTAACATATTAGGGGTAACATATAGTTCATAAGGGGTAATATATTAGTTCATCAGGGGTAACATATTAGTTCATAAGGGATAATATATTAGTTCATAAGGGATAATATATTAGTTCATAAGGGGTAATATATTAGTTCATAAGGTTTAACATATTAGTTCATAAGGGGTTACATATTAGTTCATAATGGGTAACATATTAGTTCATAAGGGGTAATATATTAGTTCATCAGGGGTAACATATTAGTTCATAAGGGATAACATATTACTTCATAATGGGTAACATATTAGTTCATAATGGGTAACATATTAGTTCATAAGGGGTAACATATTAGTTCATAATGGGTATCATATCAGTTCATAAGGGGTAACATATTAGTTCATAAGGGGTAACATATTAGTTCATAATGGGTAATATATTAGTTCATAATGGGTAACATATGAGTTTATAAGGGGTAACATATTAGTTCATAATGGGTATCATATCAGTTCATAAGGGGTAACATATTAGTTCATAGGGGCAATATATTAGTTCATAATGGGTTATATATTAGTTCATAAGGGGTAATATATTAATTCATAAGGGATAATATATTAGTTCATAAGGGGTAATATATTAGTTCCAAAGGGGTTACATATTAGTTCATAAGGGGTTATATATAAGTTCATAAGGGTTAACATATTAGTTCAGATGGGGTTATATATAAGTTTATAAGGGGTAAGATATTAGTTCATAATGGATAACATATTAGTTCATAATGGGTAACATATTAGTTCATAAGGGATAACATATTAGTTCATAAGGGTTAACATATTAGTTCATAAGGGGTAACATATTAGTTCATTAATATATTAGTTCATAAGGGGTAATATATTAGTTCATAAGGGGTAACATATTAGTTCATAAGGGGTAACATATTAGTTCATAAGGGATAACATATTAGTTCATAAGGGTTACATATTAGTTCATAAGGGGTAACATATTAGTTCATAAGGGGTAACATATTAGTTCATAATAAGGGTAACATATTAGTTCATAAGGGGTAACATATTAGTTCATAATGGGGTTCATAAGGGGTAACATATTAGTTCATAAGGGGTAACATATTAGTTCATAAGGGGTAACATATTATATTAGTTCATAAGGGGTAATATATTAGTTCATAAGGGGTAACATATTAGTTCATAAGGGGTAACATATTATCATATAGTTCATAAGGGGTAATATATTAGTTCATAAGGGGTAATATATTAGTTCATAATGGGTTATATATTAGTTCATAAGGGGTAATATTAATTCATAAGGGGTAATATATTAGTTCATAAGGGGTAATATATTATAACATATTAGTTCATAAGGGGTATATATAGTTCATAAGGGTTAACATATTAGTTCATAAGGGGTAATATATAAGTTTATAAGGGGTAAGATATTAGTTCATAATGGATAACATATTAGTTCATAATGGGTAACATATTAGTTCATAAGGGATAACATATTAGTTCATAAGGGTTAACATATTAGTTCATAAGGGGTAACATATTAGTTCATAATGGGTAACATATTAGTTCATAAGGGGTAACATATTAGTTCATAATGGGTAACATATTAGTTCATAAGGGGTAATATATTAGTTCATAAGGGATAATATATTAGTTCATAAGGGGTAATATATTAGTTCATAATGGGTAACATATTAGTTCATAAGGGATAACATATTAGTTCATAAGGGGTTACATATTAGTTCATATGGGGTAATATATTAGTTCATAAGGGGTAACATATTAGTTCATAAGGGATAATATATTAGTTCATAAGGGTCATAAGGGGTTACATATTAGTTCATAAGGGGTAACATATTAGTTCATAATGGGTAACATATTAGTTCATAAGGGATAACATATTAGTTCATAAGGGGTTACATATTAGTTCATAAGGGGTAATATATTAGTTCATAATGGGTAACATATTAGTTCATAATGGGTAACATATTAGTTCATAAGGGGTAACATATTAGTTCATAATGGGTAACATATATCAGTTCATAAGGGGTAACATATAGTTCATAAGGGGTAACATATTAGTTCATAAGGGGTAATATATTAGTTCATAATAACATATTAGTTCATAAGGGGTTCATAAGGGGTAATATATTACATATTAGTTCATAAGGGGTAATATATTAGTTCATAAGGGGTAACATATTAGTTCATAAGGGATAATATATTAGTTCATAAGGGATAATATATTAGTTCATAAGGGGTAACATATTAGTTCATAATGGGTAATATATTAGTTCATAATGGGTAACATATTAGTTCATAATGGGTAACATATTAGTTCATAATGGGTAACATATTAGTTCATAATGGGTAACATATTAGTTCATAAGGGATAACATATTAGTTCATAAGGGGTAACATATTAGTTCATAAGGGGTAATATATTTGTTCATGTTAATATATTGTGTGGGGACCATAAGGGTAACATATTAGTTCATATGGGTAATATTTGATAAGGGATAATATATTAGTTCATAAGGGGTAATATATTAGTTCATAAGGGGTAACATATTAGTTCATAAGGGTAACATATTAGTTCATAAGGGGGTTCATAAGGGGTAAACATATTAGTAACATAAGGGGTAATATATTAGTTCATAAGGGTTCATAAGGGGTAACATATTAGTTCATAATGGGTTACATATTAGTTCATAAGGGGTAACATATTAGTTCATAATGGGTAATATATTAGTTCATAATGGGTAACATATGAGTTCACAAGGGGTAACATATTAGTTCATAATGGGTAACATATTAGTTCATAATGGGTAACATATTAGTTCATAAGGGGTAACATATTAGTTCATAAGGGGTTATATATTAGTTCATAAGGGGTAATATATTAGTTCATAAGGTTTAACATATTAGTTCATAAGGGGTTACATATTAGTTCATAATGGGTAATATATGAGTTCATAAGGGGTAACATATTAGTTCATTATAACATATTAGTTCATAAGGGGTAATATATTAGTTCATAAGGGGTAATATATTAGTTCATAAGGGGGTTCATAAACATATTAGTTCATAATGGGTAACATATTTGTTCATAAGGGATAACATATTAGTTCATAAGGGGTTACATATTAGTTCATAAGGGGTAATATATTAGTTCATAAGGGGTAACATATTAGTTCATAAGGGGTAACATATTAGTTCATAATGGGTAACATATTAGTTCTTTGTTATATATGTTGGGTAACATATTAGTTCATAATGGGTAACATATCAGTTCATATAGGGGTAACATATTAGTTCATTGTGTTT